AATATTGGTAATACTGTCTTCCGCAGGATAAATTAATTTTCAAATTAAGATTAGTATATTCTTGTCCTTTAAGAGACTGTAGAGTAATTTCAAGCGACCCTCCTTGCAAAGATGGCAATACCCGACTACCAACGGTACCCTTGAAACCTTAATACCCGACTACCAACAGTACCCTTGAAACCTTAATACCCGACTACCAACGGTACCCTTGAAACCTTAATACCCGACTACCAACGGTACCCTTGAAACCTTAATACCCGACTACCAACGGTACCCTTGAAACCTTAATCTGCTCAAAAATGTGGTAGATACTCAGATTCTGTCGTTTCCCTGACTAGGAAAGTGTTTAATTCTAATAATTTCTACATTTCTTCTTTTGAGTATTAAATGTGCAGTTCAATTTCGCAGAGAACTCGAAAATGAAAATAAACAGTTTAAAGAAACAAAAACATAGATCTTATTTATACTTGATTAGACAAAGCTTTTAAGGGTACCGTTTTAAATCGGGCATTGCCATGTATGCATGGAGTCTCGCTTGAAATTACGCTTACAGTCCCTTTAAAGCACAATAATTTTAGATGGGTTTACGGTGAAGATTATCTAAATAAACTGCTAGTCAGAAAAGTAAAAAAGACAAAAAGAGGAAGAAAGCGAGCATCTGAAAAGGTATTAATTACTACAGTTTGGTTTTTAGTAAACGTATCAAAGGAAAAGCATTCTGTGCGAAATTTATCAGTCTGAAGGATCTAAAATTATTCAAATATGTAGATTAAATCTGGAAATATATATATCAACCCTGAAAAAATTAAGATTTTAGAATTTGATGTGCTCATCTTATCCTCCATTGTCAAACATATAATTCTACTCTACAGTGGATGAATAACGCCGATTTAAAATTTGAGTCTTGTCCGAAACTAACTGAGTGATTTGGTTTTTCTTACTTTCTCCTCATCTGCAGACCGGGTTTTCTAGGTTTCTAGGGTTTCGATGAGATGAGACCTTTCACCAGGTCCATTTTAAACAAAGTGTCAAAATTATTTACAGTTATCAAAATCTCTAGTGCTTATCATGAACTGATCCAACTTTTGCGAATTTCTAATGATTTCTTTGCTGATTTGTATACCTCTAGTTTGTTATATTAGATCATACTGTAGCAATGTCTGATTTGTATACCTCTAGTTTGTTAAATTAGATCATACTGTAGCAATGTCTGATTTGTATACCTCTAGTTTGTTAAATTAGATCATACTGTAGCAATGTCTGATTCATAACGGTATCATTTAAAGATTTGTCTGATCAAGTATGATTTATAAAACACATTTTTAAATTTTGAAAAAATATTATTTTTTAATTGTGGCCGGGTTCTCTACAAAAGTGATTTGCGCATTTCCACTGCATTAACACATATGAATTATAAGAAGCGAACACTTTTAAACCTAGAAAAACGACAATATCTTCCCTGTTATTGACCAGTTAATGGTAAAAAGGATTCCTTGGAGAAACGGATGTAGTAATCTTTAAAATTAAGTTTACAATCCCTTTAATTGCAAAATTTGTTTTCAGGAGAAAAGTATGAGTGAAAGTGGAAGTCGGTTTAAATACCCAAACAAAAGGAAAATGAATTTTTTTTAAATTATAATATTTCCTCTGCGAATTAGCTTTTTTTAACATGAAGATAAAACTTTTGATGCGAGTAAATACGTTACAAAATGTATGTATTGTATAACTATACAGTTCTCAACTATATAACAAGATGTATGTATTGTATAACAATAAGTTCTCTACTATATAAAAAGATGTATGTATTGTATAACAATACAGTTCTCTACTATATAATAAGATGTATGTATTGTATAAGAATACAGTTCTCTACTATGTAACAAAATGTATGTATTGTATAACAATACAGTTCTCTACTACGTAAAAAGATGTATGTATTGTATAACTATACAGTTCTCTACTATATAACAAGATGTATGTATTGTATAACTATACAGTTCTCTACTATATAACAAGATGTATGTATTGTATAACAATACAGTTCTCTACTATATAACAAAATATATGTATTGTATAAGAATACAGTTCTCTACTATATAACAAAATGTATGTATTGTATAACAATAAAGTTCTCTACTATATAACAAGATGTATGTATTGTATAACTGTACAGTTCTCTACTATATAACAAAATGTATGCAATGTATAACAAACAGTTCTCTACTATATAACAAGATGTATATATTGTATAACAATACAGTTCTCTACTATATAACAAGATATATGTATGTAATGTATAACAATACAGTTCTCTACTATATAACAAGATGTATGTAATGTATAACAAACAGTTCTCTAGTTCTACAGATATTAATGCTTTTGTCACAGCGGGCAGTCCTAATGACAGTATAAGTAATTGAGTGAAAACGGTGCAGAAACGTGTAATAATTAGATCTGTTCAGAATTAAAGGGACTGAAGGCGTAATTTCAAGTGTCTCTTCATTAAAAGATGACAATGCCAGATTTACAGTGGTTCCCTTGAAACCATTGTCCGATCAATAATGTAGAAGATATTGTCGCTTTCCTAGGTTTGAAAGTGATTAATTCTGATAACTCATATGTGCTTTCCTGCAGTAGAAATGTTTAAGTAACTTTTGCAGAGAAACTACAGTTTTAAATTATAAACGTTTATATCTAATTCATACTTAATTAACAAAAGCTTTAAGGGTACCGTTATGAATCAGGCATTGTCATCTTTGCATGGAGGTTCACTTGAAATTACGCTTACAGTCCCTTTAATCCACATTTGCGTTTTTAACCCTGCAGTTAATTCAGATTAATTTAGTTAGTCAACAACTTCCGTTGCAATATATTCATCAATTCTACCATAAAATGTAGATACATTATGCAAAGGAAAAATTATTTGGTTGCTACAGTAAAAAGTACAGAAATAGGAAGACGACATTAAAGCAATCTTTACTAAATTTTATGTTGTTATGAAGCAGATAGTTTTACCAGTAGATTGAAAATCAACTTATTATATGGCCAACTGTCCCTCAAGTTCAGTGGACTTTATAAAAGCATAACTTGTGTTAAAAAGTCGTCTTCCATATTCCATAGTTTTCTACTTTTCACTGTAGCAAGGACATATTTGATACTTTGTACGATTTAGATACATGCATAATTACATGCATAATTCAGATCTTCATTAGTTTTATAATTCTCAGTTTAAAGTAGAATTAATTGTAAAGTTTGAGCCTGGTAGCCAGGGAGGAGGAGCGTGATGCAGCCTAAATTCTGGATTATACATGAGTTTCATTAAAAGCAAAAATTTCGTTTTACAAAGTTTTATTTTCTAATGTTTTGAAATGAAAGATGAATGACTGGATCTGGTTTTAATAAAACAATACTTTAATGCTCTTAGTTTTAGTGAGAGACCGGAGGAATAGAACTGTACTTCAGAACTTGATACAGGGTGTCAACATTTTAACGCTTATCACAACCCACAGACTGGCTCAGTTGTAGAAGTAGTTATTACATGGTGTCCCAATTAAAAAGATTATTACAAGGCGTCCAAATAAAAGATCGTACTACAGCCTGTTCCAATTACTGAGCTTACACAGTGTTCCTAGTATATAGTTATTGGTACTGGGGACGTGTCCCATTTATAGAGCTAATTACAGGTAGTCTCAATATTTTTAGCTATGAACAGTGTGTAATAATATTAAATTTAGAACAAGGATATCCAAATTTTAGAGCTTTATATTGGGCGTCCCAATTTTAGAGCAAACTCAGCCTTTAGGTAGTCCCAAAATAGAACTTTGGATAGAGTGTCATTATTGGAATTTAGTAAAGGGTGTCTTAAATTAGAGCTTACTGTCTCAATAAATACCTTAGTACAGGTTAAAACAATGTAAAGCTTAGGATAGGGTGTCCAAATATAGAGCACATAGGACAGGATGTTCCAATGCGAAACATTATGCAGGGTGTCCAAATGAAAAAGCATTATACAGGGTGGCCTAATGTAAAGCATTATAAAAGATGTCCCAATGTAAAGCATTATACATGATGTCCCAATGTAAAGCATTGTAAAGGGTGTCCCAACGTAAAGCATTATACAGGGTGTCCCAATGTTAAGCATTTTACAGAGTGTCTGAAAAAATTGAAGAAACTGAATCCTAATATAGAGTTTACTGGGTGGTCCAACTTTAGAACTTCGTCACAAGGTGTCAAAATATAGAACTTAATAAACGTGTCCCAAATTCCCAACCCAATAAATTAAGATTGGTAAACCTTTTTGGGAAACTTAGACCATGCTGTCTGACCCAGAATTATAGTTTTTATACAGGGTCACAGGGTAGTAGTGTCCCAAATGAAAAGGAACTATGACAGGTTTTCTAAATACGTTACGAATAATATATTTTTGTGTGTGTGTGGAGAACTGGTTTTTACAATACAAATTATACATTGGTGCAAGATTATGTGAAAAATTAATTTTTTATGATTTCGCCGATATTGCCATCGTCATGTTTTCCAGTAAAGTGATAACCAATACAATATGGAACAATTGTCACATTCCTTTTCACTTTTTCTTTCATTTAGATATGCCGACTTCTTTTATTTGAAACAGTTTAATTATTTAAAATTTCCTTTATGATTATTTCTCTTCGTTTTTAAGAAAAATTCTTCCTTTTCATTTTTTTCTGCAAAGATGTTAGGTTGTGTATGCAATATATATATATAGGTATAGTATATATATATAGGTATAGATATGCAATATCAGAATTCTTATTTTCTTTTTCTTTATCATAAAAAAAATTCTTTTTAATTCAGTGAAAATGTTTCAGAATATACTTTCAGGGGAAATTTTGTGAACACAAGGAAACATTTTTTATCGAAATAATATTGTTCCTTTTTGTCTTTCTTTAAAAGGAGTTACACCAAAACAAAAAAAATGTATCTACTGCAGTGGGAACCATAAATGTTTTTTTAAATGTTTGACAAAAAATGTTAACCATAAGATCTGAAAATAAGAAAATCCCCAAAAATTATATTTCTCCGCACAAACCCTCCTTCGTGAACCTGTTCAGTAACATGACCAACATCAAGGACTTCTATCTCTCAGACTTCAAGAGCAAGAAGCATTCACCAGTACTTAGTTCAGGAGACACAAAAGACACGCCAAACAAGCAGTACAATAAGAACAAACAGAGTACATCTGTTAAAAAGTACACACAAAGCCAGATAGATAACACTGGAGACAAGCTGTACAACGAAGACCAAAAGTACACCGAAGCCAATATGTACATGGCACCGAAGCTGATTCAGCCGGATGTGCAATACATTTCACCAAAGGAGTACAGTACAAAAAAGGAGCACATTGCACCAAAGGAGTACAGTGTACCAGAGCAGTACAGTGCACCAAAGGAGTACAGCACACCAAAGTACAACACAGACAAAACGGCGGACGATTTTATCCAAGGCTCTTATACAACAAGCCGGCCATGGGCCTTCTTTTCTCGTGGGGATTCATGGATTCCCCCGTTTACCCTTCCATTCCCAATAGAACTATTTCCAACAGAGAAGGTAAAAATTTTTCACGCGGGAAGGGGCCCATGGGAAGGTAACCATTGTGCTCAACCATATTGATTCCGACCCACACCTTTATGTTTTCCAAATAGGGGGGTGGGGGAATTCTGTAGATTACAGCCATTTTTATTCAGCCCAATCTCCCTGAAAGGGGATGATTCATTTAGTTCACTGTCCAGATTTGCCGTCTACGGTCTGTATGCATCTGTATAACTTGCTCTGTTTGCCCCAAAGTCGGCCTTGTAATTCAAAAGAACTGAAGTATATAGTTTAATAAGCGTAATATTTATAATCGTAAACTTTTAGACCACCGAAAAGCAAGATAGAGCATATAAACCACCCTCCTACCATCCCCCACCACCTTCCTATCATCCACCACCACCCTCATACCACGCCCCAGCCCCAGTCTATCACGCCCCTGCCCCCGCTCACCCACCCCCATATAAAGCTGTTTACGAAGTAGACTTCACTCCAATATTTCTATCACTGCTTCCACTTTTCATGGCACTCGGAGCACTTCTTGGACTAGCGTTTTCAGGTTAGATAGCTTCAATAAACTATTTTCTCTAAAAAAACACTACTTAATTATAAAGAGGATTTAGGACTAATCCAAACAACTGGTACCATTTAAAATTCTTTAATTTTGTAAAGAGAAATTGCTATGTAACCTTTCCAGAGAGATTAAAAAAAGGGGAAATGCATGTTTAAAATTATTTTCGAAGCTGAATTAATTTTTTTTTTAAATTGAACTGATACTAAACATTCTGAAACATTAATAATTAAATACATAGGCATAGCAAACTAAATTCATGTCTTAATCTTAAATAGCCGTGTATTTTAGTGTTTTTCTTTTAAAAACATAATTCAAAATTATAATTAAGATTTTTATGAAACATAAGTACAGCTGTACCTGTACCTGTACCTATGTTTAGGATTGTTAACCAGCTCTACTGCCACGAACTACGTCTACCTGACCAACACTACCTCTGGTGCCTCCACCAACTCCGTGACCGTGAACGTGAACTCCTCCTCAAATGCTGCCACCACCTCCAACAACGCTGCCGCTAACACAACAACAACACCGCAGATATTTGTTTTCCCCTTCCCTATACCAATAACAGTAAACGCTGATGGAACTATAACTATTGGAACAACAACAACAACACTAACAAATATATTGGCGGCATTGGCGGCTTTAATTGGATAGAAATACTCTCTTAACCTTTGTAGGGACTGTAAGCGTAATTTGAACTGACCCATGCAAAGACTGCAAGGTACAATTTAAAGCGGTATCCTTGAAACCTTAATCTGAAAAGTGTGGAAGATTCTGTTATTCTTCTTTGTGGAATTTTTTTTATTCTGATAATTTCTCCATTTCTGCAAGGAATACGTTGAAACCGAAAATGAAAATAAACAGTTTAAAGAAACAAAACACATGGATATCTAATCCATACTTGATCAGTGTTACCATCTTTGCATGAAGGGTCACTTGAAATTACGCTTACAGCCCCTTTCCTTCATGAATTGTTTAAATTATCTTGTCTAGAGTAATTGGAGTGGAATTTATTTTAAATAACTTTTAGGTTAACTTTTTATTTTTTCCCAGTCAATTACTAGTTACAGAAATAAAATGATTATTTTCGTATAATCTTCAATTGATTCATCAACGGTAGAATTTTTTTTATTTTCAACTTTACTCTCGTTTATCTTTTCTTTACTTTAGAAATTATTTTATTTTCATTTACCCATCTTTCTTTATTCAAATTATATTTTAGTTGATCAACAGTATTTTTTGTATTACTCCATACCCCCTCACAGTAATTCCTTCTTTCCACTTTCTCTCCGATTTGTTAATGTTGTTCTAGTTTTTAATTTAGTTTTTGTAACTTCCTCGAATTATATTTTATACCATAGCTCGTAACACGTTAATATGTTTTTATTTCGTTTAATTATATTTAGTTATTATGTCGTTTGTTTTTATAGAATTTGATTTTACGCTCGTATAGATATCAAGCAGTTTACAGGTTAGTTTTTAACCCCCCCTCCCCCACCCCTCTTGCTTGTCATGTATGTTTTCACAAATGTTGGATTTTTAAAAATTTATTTCTTTGAAGTAGCTAAACACAAAAAATATTGAGAAAATATAGCTTAACATCTTGATTTTGTTTAGACTGTTTAGACAGATATATTATAAAGATTAAACGTATTCATCATTTTTTCCTTTTTTTTACAATGTTTAGTATCCCTAATTCGTGAGTTTTTTAAATCGTACTTTCCGTAAAAATTTGATTTTCTTGTTTTCTCGTATATTTTATATATATATACACTGATATATTATTATAATAATATCATGTTCTATAAAAAGTTTTTGTGAAATTCAATATTTCGGGAAAAAAATGTTTTGTCTTCTATGAATCTCAAGAATGAACAAACTATAATAAATCTCTAATTAACTATTTATTTTGTGAATGGAATCGGAAACAAGAAAGGGAAGCCACATTTTGGAAAATGAAAATGCCGGGGTTAGGGGAATTTTGTTATAATTGTTTCAAGTTTCTTACGCTTAAGGGTTATTCTTACAGGATGAGATTTCGGAAACGACTGTGCCAAGGGAAAAATCCAATTTATGATTTAAACAAAAACACGCTTGTTGTAAAATATTATCATACATTGTTGATTTATACAAAAAAAGAACATAAAATAAAACACGAATTGTTTAAAAGTTTTTTTTTAAATTAGTTTATTATTAAAATAATAAAATTTTTAACGGGATCACTGTTTTTGAATTAAAAAATGCAAAAAAAGAGGAATTAGATCGAGTTCTCATTCGTGCTCGTAACCTAGAGTTAATTTTATAAATCTAAATAAAAAATGACAGAAAAAAGAAAAAATTCCAGCCATATTATTGTTCGTGCCTGTGATGTTATATTTCCTGTTCATAATGATAACATTTAAACCTTAACTGAGAACGATGTGTATAATATTGTGTTTTTAAGTGCTGAATTTTAACAATATCTTTAATCGAGATGATTTATAACTTAGCATGTAACTTTTTCTGGCAACCGATAATTGGAAATAATCAATTTTAAAATTAAAAAAACTAGGATATCTCAATCTTCCACTAACAGTTACAGAAAAGGAATTGCGAGAGTACCTTTGTGAATCCAACTTACCACTTAATAAATTTTCACTTGAAATAAAGTCTTCAGTTCCTCTAAAGTTTTATACTCAAAGGGACTGTAAGCGAAATTTCAAGTGACCCTCAATGCAAAGATAGTACTGCCCGATTCATAACGGTACCCTTAAAAAAATATCTGATCAAAAACGTTTTTTCTAGTATTTAAAGTATTTTATTTAATAATTTCTTTATGTTTTACTGCAGTAGAAACGCGCAATTCACTTTTGTAGAGAACCCACAAATTGAAAGTAATGATTTTTCAATATTTTAAATATTTATATATCTAATTCAGACTTGATCAGATAAAGCTTTTAAGGGTATTGTTGTGAATAGGGCATTTACCATCTTTGCATTGAAGGTAACTACGCTTACCGTCCCTTTAATAAACAGTCCTGTATATATTTAATGCATTATTCACAAAGTAATCGATACTCAGATATCAGACTCAGGATATATATTGTACATTCTACAAATTATTGTCTAGACCTAATGATTAAACAAAAGAAAAGTGTATACCGGCCACGGACCAATCACATTGTGATTTATTCGTTGACAGGCCAAATTTTTGAATGTCTAACAAAGATGATAATAATGATACCAATTAAATTCAAGTGAATAATTAGCACAGTAAGAATGTTATTTTTTTTTGTTTTGGTGTCTGTTTGTTTGTTTGTGTGTTTGTTGCTATTCCAGGGGATTTGTCTGGGTCGTATTAGTCATCTCTGAATGGGATTCAGTTTATTTGTGATCCAAGTTTTTCTCCTTACCTGGCCGGAGTCCGGAGAATCAGTTCTATTCAACCCAACCAAGAGTAAACTCAACCTTGAGTAGATTAGACCTGGAGTAACCCAACCTTTAGTTAACTTATCCCACAGTAAATCCAGTCTAGAGTAAACCCAACCTAGAGTAAACTCAACATAAAGTAAACCCAACCTATAGTAAACTCTACCTGGAGTAAATCCAGCCTAGAGTAAACCCAACCTAGAGTAAACTCAACATAAGTAAATTCAACCTACAGTAAACTAGAGAATACTCGAAAATGAAAATAAACATTTTTTAAAACTATGCGAGGTTTGTTCATTAAGTTTTGCTCTATTTTTTTAGGGGTAAAACAAGACTTCATGAATACATCTTGTTTACAAAAAATAAATGTATGTTTTATTATTGAATCAAATCGACAAGATAAAACTAGATTTGAACCCTTAGATCCTCTATTCTCCATCCTTAACAATAAAAAAATCGCATCAAAGATTCAAAAAAATTTACAGAACAAATTTTTTTCAGATGTTTTAAAATATTTGGTGTTTAAAAAAGAATGAAGATGCAAGAATGTCTCAGATAATTTTTATCTGTATACTACCTTGGAACCAGGATTTACCTGGAAACTATGTTTTCCCTTTTGATGGTTAACATGGGTTAAATCTTCAACTAAGAACTTTAAAACCATATTAACAACATTCCCGTGGTTCTACCGAGTTCCACAATAAAAAATTAAGGCAAATCGGTCCAGGGGCTCCTAAGCTATGATCAGAAATATAAACAGACAAATAGTCCTTGTCTATTTACCAAACCTATCTTAATTTTCACATGTACTTTCAAATATCGCTCAAGTTAGTTTTTTTAGTTACAAATTACAACTTGTTGAAACATTTCAGGACAGAAATGATTAAACTAAATGTATCATGAACTGGTTAAAAAACTGCTTAACAAATTAACAAATCTTTATATTGTATGGACAGACACCTAAATCTAAATTCTGAATACTCTCATTTTCTATAGAATGTATCGTAAATTAATCATTTATTAACAGAGACATTAATATTAATATTTCTAATCCTGGAGCAATAAATACAAGATTTGATAGTTCTAACAACAAAGCTAAGTTTGTAAACCAAATCCTGGAGCTATTAATACAAGAGTTGCTAGTTCAAGTCACGCAGCTCTGTCTCGAATCCAGAAGCTATAAATACAAGAGCAGCTAGTTCTTATAACGAATGTATCTCTGGCCCTATAAAGCTATTAATAAAAGAGCTGCTAGTTTTAGCCAAGAAGCTATTTTTTAAATGAATCTATCTCTAATCTCGAAGCTATGAATACAAGAGCAGCTAGTTATAAAGGACCTATGTTTGTAAACGAAGCTATCTCTAATCGTGAAGCTATAAATAAAAGAGCCGCTAGTTCTTATAACGAAGCTATGTTTGTAAACGAAGCTATCTCTAATCTTGAAGCTATGAATACAAGAGCAGCTAGTTCTTATAACGGAGCTATGTTTGTAAACGAAGCTATCTCTGATTCTGTTGCTTTAAATCAAAATTCCGGAATACATATCATTTCAAAACCAAGCTACGAGATAATGAAAAATAGAGGTAAAAATACTTTCGTAAACCTAAAATTTCAAATTTTGATAAGAATATTGCAAATAAATGCCACTTCTTGTCTTAACATCCAAAATTAAAAAACCAGAACGAAAACACCTTAGTTGTTTCAATTAACCCGCGTGGTGGAACAAATATTATTTTTTGTATTTGTATACATGTGTGTACACCTTATGTTTTGAAATGTTTATATATATGTATATATATATATCTATATATTTATATTTTTATTTTTTAGAATTATTTTCTCCTGATCCTTCTATCCTCACTACTTCTTCGATACTACCCTACTCTTCATGTACCCTACCAGAGTATTCAGGTTAAACAAATATAATCCACACTGTACACTGTACATAACTATCCTACTCTTTATGTACCCTACCAGAATATTTAGGTAAACAAATAAAATGTACACAGTCCACTGCACACTTTACATAACTATCCTACTCTTCATGTACCCTACCAGAGTATTCAGATTAATAAATATAATCCACACTGCACACTGTACACTAAACATAACTATCCTACTCTTCATGTATCCTACCAGAGTATTCAAGTTAATAAATATAATCCACACTGTACACTGTACATAACTATACTACTCTTTATGTACCCTACCAGAATATTCAGGTAAACAAATAAAATGTACACCGTACATAACTATCCTACTCTTTATGTACCCTACCAGAGTATTCCGGTTAATAAATATAATCCACACTGTACACTGTAAACTGTGCATAACTATCCTACTCTTCATGTATCCTACCAGAGTATTCAGGTTAATAAATATAATCCACACTGTACACTGTACATAACTTGCCTACTCTTCATGTACCCTACCAGAATATTCAGGTAAACAAATATAATATGCACTGTACATAACTATCCTACTATTTGTCCCTACCAGAATATTCAGATAAACAAATATTACGTACAATTTAAATAACTATCCTACTCTTCATGTACTCTACCAGAATATTCAGTACAGTGTGATTTCAAAGCGCCACTCATAATTGAATGGTGGTTTGAAATTAAAAGACAGATAAAAATTCAACAAAAAAAACTATAGTAAATCGTCCAGTGCTTCTTCAAAAACATATACATTTACGAAACTATTTCCACATGATGGATCATCCTACAAAAAGACTTAGGAACGCAGTCTTCTCTCCAAACCAATTTACTAGATGATTTTCTTTGTTAAATTTTTACCTATTTCTTCACGAAATGGAAAAAGACAATTAAAACACCCTAAAGTGTAAAAGCAGTGTTATAAATAAACTTTTTCTTTTAGATAGTTCTCTCCCTCCTCCCCCATACTTCATACTAGACCCTCCTCCTCAGTATGATACAATCAAGGGGTATGTCTTGGAGGAGAGTGAGAGGGATCAATCAGCTCCGCCCACCCATCAACACCGCCTTATTGTCGTTCTAGTTCTCATCATCATGCTCCTGATCAGGGATTATTCAAATAATTAATAATTAATACAAAACTAATTTAAAATCACCCTTTGTTAAAGCCATTCGCTAATATAACTTATTATTATTATTATTATTATTATTAATTATTATTATTATTATTATTATTATTAATTATTATTATTATTATTATTATTATTATTAATTATTATTATTATTATTATTATTATTAATTATTATTATTATTATTATTATTATTATTATTATTATTATATTATTATTATTGTTATTATTATTATTATTACTATTATTATTATTATTATTATTATTATTATTATTGTTAAAATCGTTAAAAAACTATTTTTCATGGAGCCGTTCGTCATTTAGCTCAGAATGGAATGTTCCGTTTGCTTGCAGTATGTCATGCAATTTTAAGTTGTAAAATTAACGAAAGTGACCGTTATTTTAAATCACTTCCGTTCGTTTTTTATTAACTGTTATTTTTTAAATATAAGTTCATTGTATATGACGGAATTTTGTGTATTCTGAATACAAAATTCTCTTATGGCCTTACCTTAACCTTGAAACTAACAAGGAAAATGTAAAACCAGAGTGTAATGAATTTTGTCTTATTGTAAAATAATGACTTTTCTAGTTGAAAATGTATTCTTAGCATGTTTCTATTTTAGACCTCTAGCATTACGGCAGAATAGTTTTAACTAGGGTTTCCAGTCGTAATTTCGTTACGCGTAATTACGCGTAACGAAACGTAACACTTTCTTTCACTTACGCAGGAGCATTACGCGTAATTAATGAAAATTAAAAATTTTATAGATTATGTATTGGCTGAAATTCTGATTCAACTTGCGTGACATTATTTTCCTTGTAAGTTAGTTGTTTTATTTAAATTAAAAGTTAAAACATAAAAATTTCATAGACGTAATTAAGGAAAAATTTCGCAAAATTACTTTGTAGAAACTACGAAATTGATGTTTCGCTAATTACGCGTAATTATTACAAAATTTCGCGAAATTACCTCGTAGAAATTACGCGAAATTAGGCCGTAATTACGCGTAATTATAGTTTCGCTTTTTACGCGTAATTATTACGAAATTTTGCGAAATTACGTCGTAGAAATTACGCGAAATTACGCCGTAATTACGCGTAATTATAGTTTTCATTATTACGGTTAATCATTACGAAATTTCGCGAAATTACGTTGTAGAAATTACGCGAAATTACGCCGTAATTTCGCGAAATGGATATTTCCCCAATTACGCGTAATCCTGCGAAATTACACGAAATGAAAATTATTACGCGTAACTGCACGTAATTACGCGTAAGAGAATAATCTATTACGTTGGAAACCCTAGTTTTAACTGAGCGGAAAGCTATAGAATTGTGGAATGTGGATATCGAGATCAATGTTTGAGTTCCTCTTTTTGTTATCTTAAGATAATTTTGATATCTAGTTTGTATCCGTGAAAATGTCTAAATTTTAACCAATCAGAGTGGCGTATGTAGAATCCCGAACATCTCATTGGTCGGAATCCGGTTGGGATATCCAAAAGAGGAGAAAATAGTGGATTAGGCAGAAATCAAAAGTGTCCACAGTGGATATTCAGTTAAGCTATCGGTATTAATGAATCCAATTCTTAAGTTTTCAGCTCTGGTGTTTCAATTAGTCTTTCATAACTATTTACAACACTTTGAAAATAAACACAAAACAAACTAAGAAAAAAAGTAATGTTTTAAACATCCCATTCGGTGGATTCTTAAAACAGGAACTTTCAACCAAACCACTAAGCTGTAATTGGTCTTAATTTTGAGGACAAAACTCATATCTCAAAGTTCCAAGATCATGGGACCATTTTAAATGAATTTAATCTATAGGACGCTGAACTACTTAACACCGGTTCAATTCAAGAATCATCAATTCAAAGTTAAAGATTCGTGAGAATTCGAATCGGTGATTCATGATTTGAACTAGGTAATTCATTAAATTTGGTACTTGGTTCACTTCAGTTTCAGTAGGAGTAAATATTTCCATTTAGTGTATATTGCCGATTTAAGGATTCATATCTCTAATTGGATAATGAGATAGATAGAAAGATAGATGTTACCGTCATGCTATTTCTATTGGTTCAGAATAGACACCAAACACATGACCCTGATTGGATCAGGCGCTAATGGAATCGGCATACAAGTGTGTTTATTACAGAACCTCATTAAATTTAAAAGCAGGATCAGATTTTTAAGTTTAAAATCTGAATCTAAGATATTCAAAATGGAAAGTTTGAAAGTAAGGTAAAGTTTCACTGCTTCAAGATAATGCAAAAATAAAATTACTTACTGCAGTGTTTTCAAATATGTAACTTATAAAGAAACATCAATTCCTCATTTACTAACCAAACTGTGGAGGTTTTAATTCAATTATTTTTATGAAACTTTTCCCTTTTTTTAATTTTAAAAATTTTTCTAATTTACATTCTATTTTTAATAAAAATTATTTATTGGTTTTGATTTTGAGATTTTTAAAATGATCAATTTTTGGGTCCGTGTCTCTATTCATGAACTGTCTCTTAAAAAGTATATTTCAGGACAGAAAATGAGGTTTTTATAAAGAGCTGGAGATAACCATAATAACTCTTGTATATTGATACCCCCAGGAGGGTTTAATCCTCTATCTATCTATCTACCTATCCATCCGACCTCTATTTTAGAGATGGCCGCATTCTTTTTTTCATTTCGTCAGTTCATCGTTCTTGAACGACCCCTTTTCTAACTTTTTTCAGTCGTTCAAAAAAATGATGTCGTTCGTTTTCAAAATTATCGTTCGTTTTCCATCTATTTTGTTCGTTTTCTCACTGAACGATTGTTTAGTTAAATCTTTCATTCAGTAAAATCGTCTATCCGCCGACCTACCTACTATCTACCTATCCATCCGACCTATCTTTCTAACTATCTATCCGACCTATTCATCTAACTATCCATCCGACCTATTCATCTGCCTATCCATCCGACCTATATATCTACCTATCCATCCGACCTATCTATCTAACTATCCATCCGACCTATCTATCTAACTATCCATCCGACCTATCTATCTAACCATCCATCCGACCTATCTATCTAACTATCCATCCGACCTATCTATCTAACTATCCATCCGACCTATCTAACTATTCCTATCCATCCGACCTATCTATCACTATCTACCTTTCCATCCGACCTATCTATCTAACTATCCATCAGACCTATCTATCTAATCATCCATCCGACCTATCTATCTAACTATCCATCCGACCTGTCTATCTAACTATCCATCCGACCTATCTATCTAACTATCCATCCGACCTATCTATCTAACTATCCATCCGACCTATCTTTCTAAATATCCATCCGACCTATCTATCTTAACTATCCATCCGAGCCACCTTTCTATCTATCCATCCGACCTATCTATCTACCTATCCATCCGACCTATCTATCTAACTATCCATCCGACCTATCTAACTATCCATCCCACCTATCTATCTAACTATCCATCCGACCTATTTATCTACCTATCCATCCGACCCACCATTCTACCTATCCATCCGACCTATATATTTACCTTTCCTTCCGGTCTATCTATCTTCCTTTCTGGCTGTCCAGCTGGCTATCTTAATAACCAGTAAAGATACCTTCCTAGGTAGTAGATTTCAATCTATCTATTTATCTATCTATCTATCTATCCAACTATCTATCTCTCTTTATGTATGTATATTCCTACCATACGACCCATCCAATATTCAGGAATAATTTAAGGGAATGCTCAGTGTTCAGAATTCAATAAGCAGTGTTCGGTGTGCAGTACTCTGTGTTCAGTGTTCGGTGTGCAGTACTCTGTGTTCAGTGTTCAATGTTTAATAAACAGTGTTTGGTGTTCGGTGTTCAATGAACAGTGTTTGGTGTTCAGAGTTCAGTGGACAGTGTTTAGTGGTAATATTTTGTGTTTAGTGTTCAGTATTCAATTTTCAGTGTTCTGTGTTCAATGTTCAGAGTGTTCAGTGTTCAGAGTTTAATGAACATTGTTGTTGTTCAGTTTTCTGTGTTTATTTTTCAGTTTTTAATATCATAGTTCAGTATCAGTGTTCAGTGTTCAGTGAGTAGTGTTCAGTGTTCAATGTTCAATGTTCAGAGTTCAATGAACTATGTTCGGTGTTCAGTGTTCAGTGTCTAGTGTTCAGTGTTCAGTGTTCATGTGTTCAGTGTTCAGTGGTTAATATAAATATATCAATTGCAATCATATTTCAGGGCTATATTAAACTAATTTTTCCACGGCATTTAATCTTAAATATGTAATATACGACATTATAAAAAACTCTTGCTATGTATTCATATATCTGCAGGATTCACTGTATATTTTCAAAAATCTTGCACCCGTAGAAATCTTCATAGTTATAAAAACCAAGGGCAAGTGCGTTGCGACGCTATAAAGTCGGCCCGGCCTGAAAAATTATGCATAAATTGCTGGGTTTGAAAGGTTTCCAATCTGATCCTATTACACAATTAAATTATGGATTCAGGAGTAGTTTGCAAAATATTTAATATTTTATTTCATTTGTGAACAAAGAACCAGCATAAGTGACAAAATATTTGCACAGAGTTAATTAGCACTTAATATATGCCTTTCTTTTAAAAGGAGTGTCCAGCACGGAGGTTAAGTAGACCTGAGAGTGCAATATGAAAAAGAATAACATTTATGATTCATATCATGAGCAGCCGTAGTACATTTGAATTTCCGAGCCGGGTCAACCTTTCCGGTCCCAGTTTGTGCTGTATCGCCCGGACATTGGGTAAATAAGGCAGCCGGTGCAACAAGGTTGACGCGGTCAGACCTTAGGTCGTAACTAAAATTTTGCTATCAAATTAATCCTAATTTTGTATTATTAGTTCAACTACCCCTTCTTGCCGGTCACCTACCTACAAGTGTGAGTTATACGTGGGTAGATTCTTACTTTCAATACACTGATCCATTTACTTTAATTAAATTCAAAAATATTCATCTATTTATCAATCTGTCTTTCTATCCTTCTATCCATCCGTCCATATCCATTCGTCCATATCCATCCATTAAATTAGAAAGTTAAACAAGAGTTTGAGAATCTTGAAGGTTTGGGAAATGTTGGTTTTCCATTTTATAATTATCTGTTTTCCTTTTTACTTTTAAACTGATTAATTATCATTATAATAATTATTATTATTATTATTATTATTATAATTATTTGATTGATCTCCAGCCTGTGTACTGGATTAGCCTGGAAGAATGTTGAATTGTTGACAAGCAGTAAAATAAACAATGTAAATACGTTTAATCAAGTTCACCAAGTACCACTGTGAACTGGACAGAAGGAGATCGTCTGTAGAATCCCTGGTGCGACGTTGTGACCTCGTAACTCCTCTAGTCTTGTCTTTATACACAAGTATGAGAAAACAAATTTATTCTGTTACAAATTAGTGAGTCAAAACATTTTGATTCATCTCACTAGCTTTATAACAAGAGCACTTTTGATAAGAGCAGTTATGATAGGAAACAAAACAGATGTCGATCTTATGTTCAATTTTACGTAGAAATATTCCAAATAGTGATGATAAAGTAAACAATATTAAATACGTAAACAAAGTTTAAAATAAACTGGTTATATTATGATCATGACAAGTACACACAATGTGATCAAAGTATATAAGTTTAAAATACTGGTTATATTATGATCATGACAAGTACACACAATGTGATCAAAGTATATACGTTTAAAATACTGGTTTTATTATGATCACGAAAATGTAAAATGTAAAAAAAAATATGTCAATGAAAACAATTAAAAAATTAATTCTAAATGCAATTAATCGTGTATTTATCTTTCGTCGATGGTGAACTATGTACGTACATTGTTCGGGCCAGTATTATTTTGTTTACTATGATTTGATTTTGAGAGTGTCGACAGAAATAAATCCTAATATCTACATCATAAACATTAAAGAATCTGGGAAGATATCAATTTCGGTCACTTTCTTGCTCGTTCTGGAATAAATAAGTCCTCCTCCGACAAAGCTGTTCGCCATTACTTTCTTGTCATTAATCAGGAGGGGGGGGGGGGGGGGGGGGGGGGCGGAACTGTGAAGGCGCGTAGCGCTAATTATTTTTTTTGCTCACCCATAGGGCGAATTATGGGAAACACTAGAAATAATATAAACCAAATTTTATTTTCTCATGTTGCACTAGTTTTAAGGTGTAGTTTTATCATGTTTACCGTCAACATTTAATAGTTTTCTGTATCGGCCTTTTTTCCAATTTTTGTTAGTTCATTGTTTAAAGCCATATCACTCATTAGGTCTTTTGTTTTAATTTAAATATAATTTATTTAACCATTCGGATTTGGAATTTCAGAATTTTCGCTCTAATTTCATCTTCATCTTAAAAGCTGTATCCGCTCCTGCCATTAATGGATAATTTGATTTGTTGTCTGTACTGCACTGTACTGTAATGAAAAACTACGAAGTACGATAGATAGAAAAATTAACACGTTTTTTGTTTGTATCCAATAAACGTATAAACAGTTGATTCGAAATATTTGGATGGTTAAAGATGAAAAACTGTCCCCTGGAAAATGTCGACAATTATTATTTTAGAAAATTCGCAAATTTAAATAGAAAAATCCGCAATATACGATTTTCAAAGAAAAATGGCAGCTTAAAGCGCAATGGTTATCAACTAAAATTGTTAAAATAGGGGCGCGTTGCGTCCTGAAAACCTAGATATATATGTAATATGTATATTTAAAAAAAATGTCAGACATTTGAGGCCTTTAAAAGTATTAATATCCGATGAGAAAACTGTATTATGTTTAAAAATACTTATTTCACAGATATTATGTGCAGGGTTACCCATACAGAATGGGACCGTAAGACGACTTGAAACTCTTCAAATATGACGATCCAAAGTTCAACTTAAGTCTTCTGCCTTGAATGAAGTCTTTAAATTAATGGCTTATTTAAGTTTATAGAGGCAAAGAGTCATGAATATAAGAAAACAGACAGTATTTATTTAGTACAGTCTTCTCTGAACTCTCAGACTTTGTGGTCAATCTATTGTTATATTTCATATTTAGACCATTTGTGTTTAATGTTAAATTCTATAATGAAAATATATCGATAACTTTTTAAAATTAATCTATAAATCTTCTATTAGAAATAAGGTTAATGTTCAAATTAAAGTTTAAATTTCTAATATTAGGGAAATTTTTAAATTAGGATTCTGGTAGTTTGTTTGGAAGGATTTAGGATGGATTTTATAGGGATTATAATTTCAGCCAAATATGTGCGGAAGGGGAATGAAGAAAAAAAAATGTATAAGAGTGAGATCAGGAGATAGAAATAAAGGGATAACAGTTTAATTACTGATGGGCTGGGTAAAGTTTTTAGAGTCGCTTTTAAACATTTAAAGTTTTTGACGTTTAAGAGCTAGTTGTCTACCAAGGTTATAATGCAAGGAAAGTTAATTGCAGTTGCGTTCGCTCTGCGTATATATTTAAACCAGTTCTCTCTGGGCGGAATCAAAAATAGATGCATCTGTGTTCGTTAAGTATCCGAGGAGGATAAAAGCATTAAATTTTGAAAATTTTGATAATTCACATAATAGGTTCCTATGGCCAGAATATTTCATTGATTTTTTATGTGAAAGATGGATCCTATGTCAGGCTGTGACATCCGTCTTGTGTCTACATTACCGCTCAGAGGCAGTACACTGCAGTACTAAAGATGCGTACACCACTGAAATAACTTTCCTTGCATTATAACCTTGACCTGATCTAAATCATCTCTGATGTTTGATATCTCTCCTTCTATCTGACTAATCTTTGTTGTTTAGTAACTCTCTTCCTGTCTATATCATCTCTGATGTTTGTTTGATATATTTCATGTAATCTATATAATCTCTGATGTTTGGTATCTCTCCTTCCATATCAGTAATCTTTGTTGTTTAGTAACTCTCTTTATCATCTCTGAAGTTTGTTTGATACATATCACCTAATCTATATAATCTCTTATGTTTGATATCTCTCAGGGGGGGGATAACAACGAGACTGTGATATTTGTTGAAATCTTTTTTAAATTTTTCCAAATATTTTTGTTTGTTATCCTCAAAAGTTGCATTTCGGCAATTAAGTTAACAATTTTGTTTTTTGGATTACAATGACAAAATGGCGCGAACTTACAAGGGCTGGTTAAAATATTGCTCGCGAAGCGCTGAGAAATTTGTTATTCCCCAGTGGTATATTTTATAAAGAGGTTTGTAGGGGAGAATATGTTAAACCTTCCTGCTTTTGTATTTCAAAATAGTTTAAAAGCTAACATTGTCATAAGATAAGGGGCACAAAGCGCCCCAGCAGCTATAGACCAGATCTAGTTTAACAATATGTCTCGATTTCAAGACCTAAAGAATGTTTTAAACCTGTTATTTGTATGAATGACTTAATGATAAAACCATATTGTAAATATATGGATCATCAGAAAGATAATTGCAAATAATGGAAGAGTTATTTTTTGGTAAATTGAGCTTTCCGATGACCAACTTTACCCAAGAAACCAGAAGTCGTCCTTAGGAAGTCATGAGAACGTCAATAAATACCAATGGGACGTCCGGCGACGTCGTATTTTAGGTGTTGAGGACGTGTTGAGGACGTTTAACGCAAGGATTCTTACGTCCTCACAACCTAATTTTCGAAGTCGAAATGACGTCACTTTGGACGTCCAAATGACCAAACTTTTGACGTCCAAATGACCAAACTTTTGACGTCCAAATGACCAAACTTTTGACGTCCAAATGACCAAA